AGCTCTATCAATGTGAGATCTTTAAATTAACACTAAATGATTTCCAAAGTTTGTTTCAATTCCAACAGTTTATCAGACATGATTCCTTAGGAATCTCTAAGGTAGTAAGAATTAAAACCTTTACTTAAAGGGCCTAATAGTGAATATTTTAGGCTATGGGCCGTATAGTCTTTGTGGTAACTACTCAGTTCTGCTGTTATAAAGCAAAAGGAGACATAAACAACACATAAACAAATGAGTATGCCTGGGTTCCAGTCCAATTTTACTTATGGAAATCAAAATTTAAATTTGATATCATTTTCATATATCACAAAGCGCTTTTCTTCATTTGTTTTTTTTCAAGCATTTAAAAATGTAGATATCATTCTTAGCTTGCAGGTTGTACAAGCTAAGAGTAAGCCCACAGGCCATGTAGTTTCCCAACCCTTGATCTATAACATCAGATGAATACTGTGATCCTGAAAATCAAGGTGGCAATTCTGGGTGGCCTTGGAAGGTCAGTAATTTGCCTTCAACTACTGACAATAGCCATTGAGGATATTTTTGTTTACTTGGTTTCTCAATTAGCAAAATTAGTAGTTTTTGAGCCTCAGCCAATAACCAACAATTACTTCAGTTTTTGCTACATTTTCAGACCTGTAGAAATGCTAACGTAATCACACAAGAAATTGTGTACAAAAAATTCAGGGCTCACTGGCAGAAAAAGTTTTGATACCTATAAAATGGGCAAGAAAACTTTACATCTTCTCTTGAAATCATTCCATGCCCTTGCTAACGCTAGTGGCCTCTTTGTACTCTTACCCTCTGCTAGGCAGCATAACGAGTGACTGTACACATTTGAGGAGGAAATGAAACACTGGCTTTTGTCATTATTGCTTTGATTTTTTGTTTAGGAGAGAAGAAAATAAGTTAAGAAAATGGCTTGCATTCATATATGCCACCTATGTGCATTCTACAAGTATAGTATGAAGAATACACACACAGTAGAGATGTGGAGCGATGTGTAGCGGTGCCGTATAACACGGCATGGGGAAGACTTTTTTTTTTTTTTTTTTTGAGATGGAGTCTCACTCTGTTGCCCAGGCTAGAGTGCAGTGGCACCATCTTGGCTCACTGCAACCTCTGCTTCTTGGGTTCAAGAGATTCTCCTGCCTTGGCCTCCCCAGTAGCTGGGAATACAGGTGTGCACCACCACGCCCGGCTAATTTTTGTATTTTTAGTAGAGATGGGGTTTCACCATGTTGGCCAGGCTACTCTCAAACTCCTGACCTCTGGTGATCCACCCGCCTCGGCCTCCCAAAGTGCTGGGATTACAGGCATGAGCCACCATGCCCTTCCAGGGAAGACAATTTTTTAAAAGAGAAAAATTAGATAATCAAATAACCAGTCTTTTTTAGAGTGAGGGACACAGTTTTGATTCTGAGACAGCAAAGATGAAGCACTAAGATGACAGCACTTCTTTCAATCTCATTGAGAGGGTATATCATTTAATTAGAAAACTATTAATAACACCCCTCTCCTAGTTAAGGGGTGCAATTGAGAAGTACTTGGGAGGCGGGTCCCCTCTTAAGAGAGAGAAAACCTAATAATGTTACATCCATTCAGGAAGATGTAAAAAACTTTGGAGTATCTCCTCATTCATTTCCTTCCTTCCTTCCTTCCTTCCTTCCTTCCTTCCTTCCTTCCTTCCTTCCTTCCTTCCTTCCTTCCTTCCTTTCTTTCTTTCTCTTTCTTTCTTTCTTTCTTTCTTTCTTTCTTTCTTTCTTTCTTTCTTTCTTTCTTTCTTTCTTTCTTTCTTTCTTTCTTTCTTTCTTTCTTTTCTTTCTTTCTGTCATCCAATGACTTCTGAACTTTTTATTGGCTTCCTGCTCCCCAAAGGGTACCCTGCTTCTGCTGGCTCAGCGCCTCAGAACTTTGGTGTTTTTGGTCTCAGACACCACTTTGCCATCCACTATCCTACACTGTCTTTTGGATGGTTTGCATAGAGTTGCTGCTGTCCAGGGCATCACTACAACCGAAGTCCTCCCCATCTTCCAGCAGGCAGCAGTAGGTGGCAATCTCAGCCTCCAGCTTGACCTTGATGTTCAGCAGGGCCTCATACTTCTGGGCCTGGCATTGCCCCTCTGCCTGGGCCTGTGTCAGCTCTGAATCCAGGTGCAGCAGGGCCCCACTAAGCTGCTCCATATGCATGGCATAGCAGGCCTCCACCTCCCTCAGGCTGTTCTCCAAGCTGGCCTTCAGATTTCTCATTGAGTCTAGGTTTATCTCTAAGGACTGAACTATACAGCTCAGCTCCATGAATGTTATCTCAGCAGCTCCTATTTTGGTGGACTGCGTGGTGACCACTGTGGTGTGGTCCTCAGTCTTCTGGGACCAGTACTTGTCCAGCTCTTCTCAGTTCTTCTGAGCCAGCTCATTATACTGGGCCAGGAGGTCTGCATGATCTTGCTGAGGTCCTGAGACTTGGGGGCATTTACCTCCGTGGTCAACCCAGAGCTGGCAATCAGGGCTTGTAGACCTTTTACTTCCTTCTCTTGGTTCTTTTTCATGAAGAGTAGCTCCTCCTTGAGAGCCTCCATCTCTGTCTCCAGCGGTAGCCGACTGACATTGGTGTCATCAATGACCTTGTGGAGCCCATGGACGTTGCTCTCCGCAGACTGGCACATGGCCAGCTCTGTCTTATACTTGACTCTAAAGTCATCAGCAGCAAGACGGGCATTGTCAATCTGCACAACAACACAAGCATTGTCCACAGAATTTCAAAGATATGAGCCCTCAAGTCCTTGATTGTCATGAAGTAATGCCCCCAGACTCTGACCTGGGGTCTCTTCTTCTCCAAGTGCTCTCAGATTGTGCTCACCAGCCTCTGACTTTCAGTCACCAGAGTCCTCACTCTGTCCAGGTAGGAAGGCCAGGCAGTCATTCAGGCCTTGCATGGTATCCTTCTCATTTTGGATGTCCCCCATTCCTTCCAGATCCCTGGCCATCCTTGCAGCCAGGCCTCCAGACCCCCAGCCACCCCAGAAGCTTATGGAGAAGGACACTGAGGTTCGGGAGCCCAAGCCCCCGAGGCCTGCATAGACTTTGGCTGCGCTGCTGATGGACCAGACGATATGGCTGTGTGGCTGGATGGAGTGCAGGGACTGGCAGTTGATGGAGGTGGTAAAGCAAATGGTGAAGCTCATGCTGCCTAAGGAGAAAAGCCATATGACAGGACTCAAGTTCTGTTGAGCCAAGCCCATTTTTAATTTATAGCTTAACTGAAGCCAGTATGAACATTAGAAGTGTAAGAAAGTTAACTTTTCCAATCTCAAACTTTGAACTTTTGACCACTGTCCTCCAAAATATTAAGGTCTCAGAGCCAGTTCTGACCAACTAGTCTACACATTACTTTCCATCATTTGTCTCCATATTATTCTCCAGATACTCAGTGCTCATTCTTGCCTTGGCCTCTTTGCTCAAACTACTTTCTCTCCCTGGATTCTGTTCCACCTTTCCTGTTCCTACTCATATGCTATGACCTAGCATTAGTTCTAGCTCTATGATAAAGACATACACGTTAATTCCAGCCATAACAAAATATCCCCCAAATAATACAAGGGAAGCAGAGCTCTGGAAACTACAAAATGATCTGCAAATATGAAGTATTATTATATTTTGGAGAAATTAATTGTACAATAGGGTTGGCCCATTGTTATATCTTGTTTTAAAGTGTTTCCTAGTTGTTTCATGTGTTATTGACCTAACATTACAAAACCACAGGCTATTAAGACAGGAGTCACATCTCATTTCTGGTATATCTTCACAGTTCCTGACAGAACATAGCTGCAGTCAACACTCAATTCCAGTGAAATGAATTCATCAAAATAATGGATTTCTTAGCCACAGAGCTTCTCACTGGCCCAAGTAATGTTAAGTTGCTAAACACACAAGAAATCATTGGTTACGTTATGTGACTGCAAATGAAGCCTTGAAAGTAGAATAAATTTGAGACGTGCAGTTGATAAAATTCAAGCATCTTCTTCTTTTTGGTTCATAAAGCTGTGATTCAGGAGAATTCCTTAAATCAGAGATGCAGTGCTCTAAGATTGAATAGTTTGCTTCATGGTATTTCTGAATTTTGTTTAGGGTCAAAGGTTCAAACGGTGCAACTCTCCAATTTGGTACTGATTTTTGTTTTCCCTTCTTGATTCAGTGGTGGAGCACATAGCCTGTCTGTCCTGCTTCCTTTGGTTGTCCTGATTGATGCATCTTTTGGTCTAACAGGCCATAGCCTCAAAGCAAAGTCATGGCAAGCTTTAGTTGGCAGTAAGGTAACAGCAGTCTGCCAATAGCGTGGGCCAACTCCAGTTCCAGCAGCCTGGCGGCAGAGGGTTTACTTGATGGACCCAGGGCCGCTTCCCCAGTCTGTCCCGCGGGTAGAATGATCCTTGCCTTAGTCTGCTTCGCAAGGCTAATGGAAGAATTAAATGCCAAATAAGGCGAGATAAAGATAAATGAAGTGTGCCGTTATTATAACTGGTACTTCGTCCTCAGTTCCCTCCAGGAGGGTTGTTGGGGCACCTAATGAACGGGCCTAAGCTGACTTGTCCCCCACATCTTGCGCCCCACTCGAGCCAGTGGGTTGGGGAGTGAGATGTTCATCAGACCCCAGAAAACGCACTTATGTCTAGACGGCTGTGCAGCTCTCCGGAGTTCGAGATCTGAGCCCCCCAGCCCTGCCGCTTCGCTGCCTGGATGCGCAATCTCTATGGTGACAGAGAGTGGGCCGGAAGAAGCCTCTCTCTTCCGCCCAACAACCCGCCCTCGGGCTAGACTGACCAATGGCCCAACGAGTTACGGAGAGATGATGTGATTGACATGGGGGGGTGTGGCGTGCAGCTCGGACCGCGGCTACTCAACCCAACTGAGGTCGGTCCAAGCGCCGACAGGCACCGACCAATCGGAGGGCGTAACATAGGGTGACGAGCCAACCCACCGCGCTCGGCGTTGCCGGGAGCCGCGCTAGGCGTAAGCTAATAAAGAAGAAGTTGGGCGTTGAGAGAGCGACGCTGATTAGTGAATGTTAAATCACCTGAATGAAAGCCCACTTGTGATTCGCCCTAAGTAAACAGGAGCCCGGTGGGCTGGAACGGGCCGGAATCTGAGGTGTGAGTACTGCCTGGGTGGACAGTGGGATCCAGGTGAGGGGGGCAGAGGTGAGGAAAGCAGGGCGGCTTCGGAGAAGGGAGAAAAGTGGCGGGTCGGGCTGAGGTGGTTGGAAGAAGGCGTGGGCGGACGGCGGTGCACGGACCTCGCAGACCGCCCTTACCGCTGATCTGGCCCCAAGGCCCGGCTCATAAATACTTAATGGGAGGCAGAGAAGGAAGGGCTGTTTTGTGTTTCATACTCTTAAGAAAAGGAAGTGTCAGTGCCTGATTCAGATCTCTTATGATCAAGACCTTAATCCCTCTCCAGCTACTGGGAGGTGGCCAGGTGAACATTCTGAAGACGAGACATGGGGGGTATCGTTTTCCTGTCGTCAGTTTGAATCTGCAGCAGGGTTGGGGAGAAGCTTAGAGTTCCAGTAGAGTGTTCCCAGGCTGCAGTGCTGTGAGATGCAGAGAGCGGAGAGACCGAGGCTCTGCAGCCGTTCCGACCCACAACACCGTCCAGGAGAGAGACGCAAGGACGAGACCTAGGTTTACTGATCCTCCTTTTCTATCAACGTGTTAAGAGCAGATGCTACATCGGTGGCATTTTGGGAGCTTGGCAACTGATTTTTTTCCCAGGCTTGCATTTTATCTCATTACAAAGGTAGAGGCGTTATTCTAATATTTTAAAATTCAAAAGATAGTGAAGTGTTTAAAGTAGAAACATAAAAGTGTGAAAGTAACCGCCCAGTTATTTTTGAAGGGTTGGAAAACAGCTATAAAGCAAAGTGGAAAGAACTGTTGCAGAAGAGCACTTCACTCCTGTAACCCACTGTTTTCTGTTGCTTTCAAGGGCTTGAGTCAGTGTGAAAATCGGGGGATGGGTGAGATATCTCCCACCAGCAGCAGCACTTAGGCCACATTACCCTCTGAGGAATCCACATTTGTCTTAGGTAGTAAGTCATCTTATAGTGGCCGTTAGTATTCTCACTCATGATGATCAGCCTGGTGATGAGTACTGTGTTTTTAATCCATTAGGTTACCTGTGCAGGGATCAGTCAATTTATTCCTATTTTCTCTGACAGCTGGATGAAAGGGTATGTAGAAACAACCATTAAATGAACACACACATCTAAAAGGTTTTGAACAAACTCTTTCCAGAGAAAAACCTCACAGCATTGAGCACAGAAGGAAAACATTGGCCTTGTAGTTGCTCTTGTCAGCTGCTGAACTGTTCAAATTTAAATTATTTTTTTCCACTCCAATCTGCCTGCTTTAAATGCCACAGATATTGAGTAAATGGACTTACCCTTGAAATCAGGTTGGCCAAGCCATCACTTCTCAAAGAAGGTTTACTGACGGCGTGAACAGTAAATAAAAACACTTTCGTTTTAGTATTTTATTGTATTGTACTCAATAACAATAATTTAGCCATTCTAATATGGGAAATTATCACAGATATTATTATCACATTGAAATAAGATAAAAATGACTAGATGTTCTCTCTTCCCCTATAGCAGCACTCTATACTATACTCAGCCCTTCTTTTCTATGCTTTGTAAGAAAATGTATAGTTTGCTTGTAAAATTATGAGCACCATTCTTAAAAGAGCTTGGGAATATTTATCTTATTTACTTTAAAGCTATACCATATGTAAACCCAATGTCTCATGAACTCTTAAGCTACTAAGGGGGATTGAAGGGCAACATTTCTAATGGTGCCAGCCAGCTTCAACTACCATTTGCCCTCTATTCTAACTGTTAGAGTGAATCCAAGTCTTCTAGGTTATTTGTGTAATATCCAGAATAGCACAAATTAAATTTAAATAGTTGTTTTCTTAAGGGCAGCACCGTCAGGTCCGTCAACTAAGCTAGAAACTTGTGTCATTTCTAACACCTTCTCCCTTGACACAGCTGAGACTGGAGTTCAGACCCTCATCTCTTACCTGGAGAATTGCGTTTCCTAACTGATCACCCAATTCATATGCATCCTGCTGCCCATTACCTTTTTAAAAATTAAAAGTTATCACAAAAAATTTAAAAACAGAAAACAGTACATTGGGTAGTATAATATCTATGTTTCACCAATCAGATTAATACATATTAACATTCTGGCACACCCGTTCAAGTTTTTTATTTTAAAGAAATAAAACATCACAGATTTAGTTCAGATCCCTTTTATTTCCACTCCCAACACCATTCCCTTTTCTTCCTCCCTCTCCAGAGGCAAACAGTCTTTTGAAATTGTCATACATCATTTATGCCCATGTTTTTATACTTTTGCTGTATATATGTACATCAGAAACAATACATATTACTGTTTAAATTGTATTTAATTAAAAAAATACAAGTAGTATCGTACTGTGGGTTCCATTTTGCAACTTGGTTTTGTCACTCAACATTGTTTTTTTGATATATTCACATCAATACATATAGATCAAATTTCATTTTAAATATTCATTATGAATATATAATATTGTATCTGTTCCCTGATTGATGGACATTTAAATTTTTTCCTGATGTTTTGCTATTGTAAACAAAGCTGCAATAAACACCTTGTACATGTCTCTTTATGCAAGAGCTTTCTAGAACAGTGGTTCCCCAAAGAGATGTTACTGCCCATTTTAGGGTGTTTTGGAATTTGTGAAGATATATTTTGTTACTCTTTGATTGGAGGCACTACTGGGGTTTACAGATCAGGAATGAGGGATACTGGATGTTGTGTAATGTATGGCACAGTCCTCACAACGAAGAATTGTCCTGTATCCTGTGCAACTTTTGAGTATCCCACAAGATACTCATTTATTATTATCTGAGTCTAGAGCCTAACTCCAGTTTTTGTATAAACATAATGTATTTTTTGGCACAGTTTAATATAGTAAAATTTCCAGGAATGCAGCTCTAATGTAAATCAGAGGAAAATTATACTTATTTGTGGTTTGGAACTTTAACAAGAGTTGTTCATCACTCTAGCAAATCACATAACTGAAGGCAGCACAGCTCGTGGTATTTGAGTTGCCAGAACAACACACCTGCATAGTCTGCATTTGAAGCTTTTGCGTTCGTGGTGATTCTAAGTTTAGGTGCAAGCATCTGACTACTGTACTTCATTACGTATTCTAGTGTAGTCAGCCTGAACATTTGTATATTTAAACATATGCTATTTCATTACGAATTACTTTCCATTTAAAATCGACTTCTGTATATCATACAGAGATCTAGTTTTATTATTTTCCTACTGGAGAATCATTTGTCCCAGCACTATCTATGAAGTTCTTTACCCACTGAATCATAAAGCCAGCTCTGTGCTTATAGGAAGTTCTCACAAATGCACGGATCTGTTTCTGGGTTCTTGATTTTATACCACTGGGCCATGTGTCTTTGTGCCACTATCACACTGTTTTAATTACTTTGGTTTTTTAATGTGTCTTGCGGCAGTTGGTAACAAGAAAGGCAAGTTGCCATCCTAGTTCTCAAAATTGTTTTGGCTATTCTTGGGTTTTTTGCTCTTCCATATGAATTTAGGATCTGTTTTCAAGTTCCACAAAAAATTGTTTTTAGACGTTGGTTAGAATTGCATTGAATTTATAGGTTAAGGAAAATTGAGATTTTTTAATTGAACCATCCCATCCAGGAACACAGGTTATTTCTCTGTTCAGGTCTGCTTTATTTCTCTACCCAGGGCTTTACTGTTCAGGTCTGCTTTATTTCTCTAATCAGGTCTCTCTCTCTCTTTTTTTTTTTTTTGGTCTTTGAATAAAGTTTTATAATTTTAGCTATACAAATCTTACTTATCTTTTGTTATAGTCATATTTATACAGATATACATATACATATCCACATCTTTTTGTTATGAAAGTTTCAAATATATTCAGATGTATAGAAAATTCCAGGATAGCAAACATCTACATACTCATCACCCAGCTTCAACAACTAGCTCATGACCAGTCTTATTTCATGTCAGTTACTTCACCTCCTCTCACTCAGATAATAGAAAGCTCCTAGAAACCCTTTTCTGTTATCTGTAATGTGCTACATGTGTGTATGCATATATCTTTATCATACTCTTTTAACAACATAATAATAGCATATTTTTCAATAATGTTTTTTCACTGATAATACAAACAGCAATTTCCCAATACTATCAATTAGCTGTATATTCTTCAGATTTTGTATATTTCCCAATACTATCAATTATCTGTATATTCTTCAGATTTCCCCAATCATTTCATAGAAGGTTTTTGCAATGCTTTGTTTGAATCAGGACCAAATAAGGGTCCATATACTACACTTGGCTGACACATCTCTTGATATTCTTTCTGTAAACATTTTAGTGAAGGGTAATACACATACAGAAAAGTATATAAATCCTAAGTGCATGGTTAGATACAACATCACCGTATGAATAAAGCCAGGTGACCAAAACCCAGATCAAGAAACAGAATTTTATCAGCATCTCACTGAACCCCCTACAGTCACTATGTTTCACAAGCCAACCATACCCCTGACCTCTAGCGCCTAAAATTAGTTTGACCTGTTTTTGAACATTATATAAATGGAATCATATACTATGAACTCTTTAGCCTCTAGCTTTTTTTCATTCAATATTTGTGAAATTCATCCACATTGTTGAGTATAGTTGTAGTGTGTTCTTTCTCATTGCTTTATACCATTCTCATTGCTTTATACTACATAATGCTTTATATACTGTATGAATGAATAGATTGTAGAGTACTATATCCACTCTATTGGTAGATATTTGGATTGTTTAATGTTTTAGCTATTTCAGGTAGGGCTGCAATGTCTTTGTTTTGAACTTAGGTGTGCATTTCTGTTGGGAATACACCTAAGAATAGAAGAGCTGGATGTAGGGTGCATTTATATTTAGCTTTATTAGATACTTCCAATAGTCTCCAAAGCAGTGGTTAACAAATTATGGCCCTTGCCAGCCATATATGAGGGTTCCAGTTACTCCACATCTTTGTCAACACTTCTGTCATTTCATGTTAGCCATTCTGGTGGGTATATGAAGCTACTGAATTTGGTTTTCATTTGCAATTTCTGGATGACTAATGAAGTTGAGCACCTTTTTACATATTTATTCTCATTCAGGTATCCTCTTTCTCAAGTGTTTATTCTTTTTTATCTGCTTGATCTATCAGTTTCTGAGACATATTTAAAATCTCTCACTAAATTAGTGGTTTTATCCATTAATTATAGTACTTCTGTCAGTTTTGGCTTTATATATTTGGAGGTTTTGTTGTTAGGTTCACATTTGTTTCAAGTTGTATCTTTTTACTGAATTGTTCCTTTTGTGACTGTTCTTATTAATATTTTTCAGAGCTTTACATCTATTTTGCTTGGTACTAATATTACTTCAGTAGCTTTTATTTTGTTTCGCTTTTTTTTTTCAACTGTGGCTTAAAACAAAAACAAAAACAAAAAAACATAAAATTTCCTGTCTTAACCATTTTTAAGAGTGCAGATCAGCAGTGTTAAGTATATTCACAGTGTTGTGAAACAGAGCTCCAGAACGTTTTCATCTTGCAAAACTGAAACTCTATACTCATTGACAATCTCCCTATTCCCTCCTTCCCTGGTTTTTGTCTTGTTAATATTTGCTTTGCATGTCTTTCTCAATCTCTTTATTTTCAGCCTCTCATTATACTTTCTGTAGAACTTTTGTACACAGCTATTTTTAAAAAGAAAAATCTAAGAGAATTTCTTTTAGTAGCCAAATATAATGTTTCCTTGTACTACGATTACTGCTGTATTTGGGTTCATTTTTACAATCTTATTTTGTATTTTCCATTTTCCTTGCTTATTCTTTGTTCTGCCACCTACCTCACTACCACTGACCCTTGCCCCACTTTCTGTTTTCTTTACTTTTTATTCACTTTACTAGTATAGAAGCTATTTTTTCTATTTCTGTTGCTTGCTGTTTACCTATGTTTTTTTAAAACTTGTGTACTTAGCTTAAAAAACATATACCTCCTCCAAAACAAAATAACTGTAGAATGCTTTAACTTTGAACTATCCTTTTCCATCTACCATATAACTGTTGAGTAATATTTAGTTCTTTCTGATTTTTAACCCCTCAAAAATTGTCATTATTACAGAAATCTTTACTGTCAATATTTCTTAGTATTTTTCTCACCAATCTTCCTACATCTCATACCTCCTTTCTTGGTTCATTTTCCTTCTTGCTGAAATATGTCTCTGAGTAGCTCTTCCACTGAGGATCCATGAGAGATGAACTACATTTCACCCTTTGTATGTCTGAAAACATCTTTATTTTACACTTACTCTTGAGGGAGTCTTGCATGCCAGCCTGTGGGTTTAGTTTTGTCTCTGCTGGGATCCAGTGGGTTCTCACTTTTAGTCTAGTTTTCATGTTAATCTTTCTATTTGGGTTCCCGTATCACACTGGTAGTATTGACTCTCACACATGGATATGATGTGGGGTGGGGAATCAGATTTCTCTTGGGCTATTGTTTTTTGACCTGTGGCCTGAAGCACTCAGCCAGCTTTCTTCCAGCTAAGTCAGTAGCAAATTTTTTAGACCCTATTTCAAGAACTGGTCAGCCCTGTGAGGGCCCAGCTTTCTGCCTTGTTCCCATTGCTAGTTCTTTGCCATCGTGGGCTTGAGACCTTATCTGCCTTGAAGAGAATCACCCTGAAGGTCTGTATCAGGCAATAGTACCCCCATAGACTTTTAGGCTCAGCTCAGGCCTTGAGTTACATTTTTTTTATAGCACTTAATGATTTTTCTTTATTGTTTTCGAGCTCTGCTGTGTACTAAATTCTTCTTGTTCCATTTTATTGAACATTTCTGTGTTTGCTGTTGTATGAGGCACTTCCCTTGTTAACTTCTGTCCAGCATATTGACCAGAGGTTACAGCATCTTTCTAAAACTCCGTATGATCCTTTCACTCCCTCACCTGATGTTTGTGGACTTGTTAGCACTGTGTCATTTATTCCTCCCACAGATACTTGTCATGTATAATCTCTGTGCTAAGAACTGGAGTTACCACAGTGAGAAAGATACCAGGTCTCTGCCTTCGTGGAGTTTACCATTCTAGTTGGAGAGACAGAAAATAAACTTGTAAACAAATAAATGAAAATATTAACTAGTTCTGTGAAAAGTGCTCTGAAGGAAATAGAGTGATGGAGAGTCAGTGTTTGAGGGTTACTTTAGAGAAGACACTCAGGGAACACCTCACTGAGGAGTGACATTTAAGCAGAAATCAGAAGGCTGAGGAAAGCCAGTCCTACAAATAGTAGCAGGCGTGCTTCGGGTTGAGAGTTAGTTCCAGGCATTGGAAACAGCAAGTACAAACACCCAGAGATGGGGAAACCCTGGGCATGTTAGTGAGATGGTGCCCATGTGGCCCTAATGGGGGCAGACTGCTCCCCAGAGAAGTTAGGCATGCAGGTGGGCCCCAGGTCCCATCTCCCCTCACTCTGTCATCTTTTCACTCTGATTCTTTCTTAAACGTGCCTGTGTGGAGTACTTCCTTTGTAAAGCCCCTCTCTCTATTGCCATTCCCACTGCACTTCGCTTTTACCATTACTCAGAATGTAATATGGACACTTGTTTTCAGGACAGTGTTCTCCAATAGACCCTGAGCTTCTGTCAGAAGATACCTTATTCACCTTTGGCATCCCCAGCTTATAGCGCAGTGCTTTACATGGCAGGCACATCATAAATGTTGATTCAATAAATGTATTTTTTTAGCAGTTCATACTTAGACCCTCCTTTCTCATAACTTTGTAACTTCTCATAGCTAATGTTTTCGTGGTATTTAAGCCATGAGGGTAAAGAAAACCAGCAACCTAGAGGAGTGTGTTTGCTTAAGACTTGTCTCTGATGCTGAAAAGGAAAACCAGGGGAGGTAGTGCGGTGTGCTGTTCCTCTGCTGTGAGTCGAATGGTGCTCCCCAAAAATTTATGTCTACATCCTCACCCCTGGAATCTGTGACTGTGACCTCGTTTGACAAAAGGGTCTTTACAGATTTAATTAAGTTAAGCATCTCAAGATAATACTAGATTATTTGTACAGACCCTAAATCCAATGACAAGTACCCTTACAGGAGACAGAAAAGGTGAAGACAGACACAGCAGAATGCCATGGAAAGATGGAGGCAGAGACTGGTGTTGTGAATTAAAAGCCAATGAATGGTGCCTGAGCTACCAGAAGTTGGAAGAGGCAGGGAAGGATTCTCCCCTAGAGCAGCCATCCCCAATCTTTTTGGCACCAGGGACTGGTTTCATGGAAGACAGTTTTTCCACAGGCGGATGCAGGGCAATGGTTTCAGGATGAAACTGTTCCACCTCAGATCTTCAGGCATTAGATTCTCCTAAGGAACCTGCAACCTAGATGCTTTGCACATGAAGTTCACAATAGGGTTCGTCCTGCTATGAGAACCTAATGCCGCCACTGATATGACAGGAGGCAAAGCTTAGGCAGTAATGCTGGCTTGCCTGCTGCTCACCTCCTGCTGTGCAGCCCAGTTCCTAAACGGCCATGGACCAGTGCCAGTCCATGGCCCAGGGGTTGGGGACCCCTGCCCTAGAGCCTTTGGAGGGAGTACAGCCCTGCTGACACCTTTATTTTGGATTGCTGGCCTCTAGAACTGTGAGAAAACAAATTTCTATTTTGAGCCGCTAATTAGGAAACTAATAGGTACCCCATCGCGCTTATATTTCACCCATCTGTAACATGGCTATAGTCATACTTTTCTCAGAAGCTTCACGCTGGGATTGAATGAAATATGTTTGCATGGCACTTAGCACACATATATGTTCAAAAATAGTGATGGCTGTTCCTCTTCTTTAAGGACTGAGAGTTTTCGTCCTCTTGAATAAGAACTCGACAATAGACTGAGAACTTTCTGTCTTGTGTTCGATTGCCTGGTGAGTCAAAGCTCACACCATGGATTTAACCTGAGAGCTTCAACTTCTGCTTTGGCCCTGGAGTTCCTTCCCATGCCCCAGTGTCTTCTAACAGTTCTTAGGGTTTTGTATCAAGAGAGGGTTCCGTTTTCTCCCGTGGGCTGGGGGAAGAGGTCAAAGTAGAACTCAGGTACCAAATTTGAAAGGAAATACTCAGAAAGACCTTCTGAGTGCAGAGCAGGGAACACCCCTCTCGGTCCCTGCCAAAGAGAAAGGCTTTGGCTTCTAAATTTCCAGTTTCCATTAAGGGGCTCTGGGACTGGACATTTCTGAAAATTAATGACCTGTACTGAGTAATCCTCCTAACACGCTGATCATCAGAAAATTCCCTGTACTGAGTTTAGGCTTTCTGTATTTGTCTGAATGCCTTCATGGGAGTGCGTGGCAGGAAGGCGGCGCTGGAGCCCAGAGGACACTTGATCGTGCGGCGCGCAGGGCGGGGGGCCGCCGCTGTCACCCCGCGGGATGGCTGGCACTGTGCTCGGAGTCGGTGCGGGCGTGTTCATCTTAGCCCTGCTGTGGGTGTCAGTGCTGCTGCTGTGTGTGCTGCTGTCCAGGGCCTCCGGGGCGGCGAGGTAAGGCATTCTTTCCAGCTGGGAGTCCCAGGTAAAGCAATTAGAGGCAAAATCGCTGATGCTCATTAAACATTTAGAATTTAAGAGATCAGTTTTGTAATTACTGGCAGTTTGAATGAGTTGCATTTTAACCTCTTTTTATAAGCACGAACTGTGTTATTTATGCTCGGAAGCCGAGATGGGAGAAGGAAGTGGTGTGCTTGAGTTCTAACTGCGGCAAGAAATTCTGCTTTCACTGCTGATTGAATTTCTGGAGGTCGTACATGTGTGTGTTTATGAATTGTTCAGATTTATGGCAGAGGCTTGGTCCGGTCCCCGAGGCTCTAGCCCTGGACCCAGGAAAACTAAAGCAACATGTGATGAGTTGGGCCTGCTTTCTGTATCACGCGTTGCCTTCAGAACAGGGTTAGGCCATAAACCGACTCTGAAAAAACTGTAGAGTTGCACCAAGATAGTGTTAGTATGAAGCAGAGAGTTGTAGAATTTTCTAAAGTATTCTGTTCTAAAAACAACAGAAGTGGAGGTGGAGAGGGGATGCTTTGGTTTTTCTCGATTATGACTTTGGGCAGAAGTAAAAATAAAAACTACACATTTCCGTTCCTAGGAATTGGGAATTACCAAGAATAAACGGGAATGCACCTAGCTGGTATGTGTCTAGGAAGAAGGACTTTGGCATGAAGAGGTTGTTGACAGCAGGTCTCTGGACATTGTTAAGGGACTGAAACATAGAACATTGGCTCCAAGGGAGAGTCTTTCCAGACCTAACTGATCAGAGAAAAAACTCTAAACAGTGCTTTTAATATTTGTCTTTTTGACCCCAGGTTCTCTGTCATTTTTTTATTCTTCGGTGCTGTGATCATCACGTCAGTTCTGTTGCTTTTCCCACGAGCTGGTGAATTCCCAGCCCCAGAGGTGGAAGTTAAGGTAAAGCTGTTGGTTTTGTTTTGCCTCCTGAGCTGTAACTCTTGTTTCTCTTCATCTGTATGTCCATCCTGCCCTCGGTGTTCTCTGACACCGGGTTTCCCAAGATGTCAGAATTGTAAAGTTCAACCAATGGTAGGGAACGTTCAGAGAGAGTTTTAAGTTTCCCTGCCCCTTCACTCAGGAAAAGAATCTTACTCTAAATTCCGCCTCCAACCCCACCAGGCAGTTATTTGCCTGATTTGGTCTCATCTCCAGTTTGCATCAAGTTGAAAACAGCCTGTTGGAAAGCCACATCGTACCACTGGGACAGAAAAAAAAAGAAAATGAAATAAGGATAGTCACAGGCCTGCACCCGAGATGGAAGTGTTCCCATTCCTGGCAGCCTGGGCTCCTAACCGCAGATCCTGGACTGAAACTGATGTGGTGCCCTGAGGGTGCTGAGGACATGCTTCTCCAACTGCATGTGCTAGAATTTTCCCAACAGTCTTCTGGGAGTTCTTTGGTCCTCATGCCTGGGACCATACCTGCCAGCACCCACGTCTTTAAATGGATTTTTATCATCTCTCTCAGAGTCCTTCTCTGGAGTTCTTTACCAAGGCATTGCCATGCCTGGCTGGTCTCAGACCCATGGGATCTTGACAATGGCATTGACCTCTTCTGTCCCATTACTCCTTCTCACAGCTTTCCTCTTAACCTTCATTTTGATGTTTTAAGTGATAGTCATGAAAATAGCTAAAATTCTTTAAGGGATTTCTGTGTGCCAGGTCCTGTGCCAAACACTTTGTTTGCATTGTCTCATTTAAACCTCAGAACAGCCCTAAGTAGTATGACATAGGTACCATTATTATCCCCATTTTATAGGTAAGAACACTGAGTCTGTCAGAGGTTAAGGTAACTTGCCCAAGGCCACATAGCAAGAGGCAGAACAAGGATTCAAGCTGAGGTATGTCTTCAAAATCTTCATGTTGAGAACTTAACAGAATATCCAGGGCAGTCCCAGAGAGCTCATGGGTTAGCATTTTGACACTAGACAACAACAGTATACAAGAATATACATGTAACTTTTGAACTAAAATCGACACTCTAGGATTAACTATGGCAAGAGGAAGGAAATTAAACTCCAAGGGAAATAGTACTTACCACACGCAATTAAGGAATTATTTCCATTGATGCCAGTTTGTTGTCAGTATTTGGAAAATACTCTGGAGGTCTGGGTACCACGTGTGTGAGCCGGGGCAAATTCCCACCTCACTTATCTTTTTTTTGTTTTTTGTTTTTTGTTTTTGAGAGAGAGTCTTGCTCTGTCGGCCAGGCTGGAATGCGGTGGCACGATCTCAGCACACTGCAACCTTCGTCTCCTGGGCTCAAGCAGTTCTCCTGCCTCAGGCTCCTGAGTAGCTGTGATTATAGGCATGTGCCACCACACCCAGCTAATTTTTTTATTTTTAATAGAGATAGGGTTTCACCATGTTGGCCAGGCTGGTCTCGAACTGACCTCAGATCACTCAGCCTCAGCCTCCCAAAGTGCTGGGATTACAGACGTGAGCCACCGAACCCAGTCGCTTTCCTTGTCTTTTAATGGGGAGAGTGATGTAGGCTGCCACATTTCTGGATGCTGCAGATATAAACATTGGGAGAAGGGCACAGAGCAAACACATTTTTGAAATCAATCCCTCTATTCTCTGTCATATGAGTTTCAGACCCAGGAGGCAAGAATGGGGTTTGAGCAAAATACTTTTGTCAGCATGGCCGACAGAATTGGAGTTCTCATTTTCAGGTTTTGAGAGCTGGCCTTTGCAGCAGCCTGGCTCAATGCGGTATCAATAATACATGGCCTGGGCCTTCTGCACCCAGGGCCTGCTAATTGGCTAATTAAAAAGTGAAACGTGTCGAACGAGCAAACATGTGGCCCGCAAGAGACTTGTTCAGTACCAGAGCCAAGGTCAAAGTTATGTTAAAGCTGTTTTATCAAACTGACCTTTGTTGTAAGTTGACTGTTGGGGTAATCTCTGGAGCAGCTGAGGTGTCTTTGGATCTCGGTGATCCCACCAGGGCTTGGGTCTGAGAGGTGCTTTGTGTATGGCCGCTGTGTTAGTTTTCTATCGCTGCTGTAACAAATCGTGTGAACTAATGGCTCACAACACAGATGTATTATCTTACAGTTCTGTAGGTTAGAGTCCAAAATCAGTCTCATTGGGCTAAAACCAAGGGGTTGGCAGGGCAGCATTCCTTTCTGGAGGTTCTATTGGATAATCCATTTCCTTATCTTTTCCAACTTCTAGAGGCTGCTCGTATTCCTTGGCTGACAGCCCCCTTGCTCTATCTTCAGAGCCAGTGACATCACACCTCACTGATGCTTCCATCCTCACCTCTCTTGCTCTGACCCCCTCTTCCACCTCCCTATTCAACTTACAAGGATCCTTGTGATTACATTGGGTCCACCTGGATTGGATAATCCAGGTTATTCCCGCCTTTTTTAAGGGCAACTGATTGGCAATCTTAATTCTCCTTTAACATATAATCTAACTTATTCACAATTTCTGGGGATTAGGATGTGGATATCTTTGGGCCGTTATTCTGTCTACCATAATTGCCTTTCAGGTGTTTTGGATTCTCTCCTAGGTACTGGGATTTCAAACCTGTGAAGTCAGTCAGCCACTTGGTTGGTGGTGTTGCTCCATTAGGTCTGTAGATTAAATTGCTTTTTCCTGCCCAAATTTAAGCACCACCATTTGGATCTGGGGAGAGTGGAGCTCTGGAAGGGGACAGTGAACAAGTGGGTAGCGCCGACACCAATTATAGGGTTTTGTCAGCAAAGACCAACATCTTTGGGGCCTCAAGTGTAAGGCCAGGCAGCCCATTGTCTGCTTTGGGGCAAGTTACCTATCCTCTTAGTGTTTTAGTATCTCAGGTAAATTACCATTTTCCCTGCCCTGTGGCAAGGGACTCTTCTGCTGACAGCTTTAAAGTTAAGTCACCTTTCATTTTGAAAATGAACCCTCCTGAAATGGCAATGGATTGATGATTTTGGGGGTTGGGTCTTAGATACATGGGAGTTTATTATTTATTATTATACATAGGAGTTTATTATGCAACTATATATTATTGCATTTTCATGTATGTTTAAAATTCTCTGTAATAAAATGTGTTTTAGCAACAACAAAAATGAGCCTTTCTAGGACCCAGCAAAAGCTTCTCATTAACTCTTTCAGATAATGGATTTCAGAATATAAAATAATTCATCCAGGGACTTCAAAGTGTCTACCAACCTCCTAAATTGAGCCATTTGTTCCCTGTACCTCATTGATCCCTTCTTGACCTGTGTCTTCTGCTCAGGGAGTTGAGGAAAAGATTCTTTTTTCTCCATGTACAGAGGAGACTCAGGGCAGGATGTTACTGGAAGTTACACTCATGAACTAACTCTTGGCCCACTCATCACAGAGTTCAGATTAACCCAGCCAGGGTGCCTAACTGGCAGTAATTTCATTTTGATGTTTTCTTTCTCCAGATTGTGGATGACTTTTTCATTGGCCGCTATGTCCTGCTGGCTTTTCTTAGTGCCATCTTCCTTGGAAGCCTCTTCTTGGTTTTAATCCATCACGTTCTGGAGCCCATCTATGCCAAACCACTGCGCTCCTACTGACCACTCTTCGCGAAAACGAAAACCTGTTCTCTCCTTCATTGTGATGACATCGATGAGCAGAAAGGCACTATTCAGAGCCTTGTTTTGACAGCCCTCCTGCCTTAAGACTGGAGGAGTGTCCGTCCATCACCAAGACAAATCTCCTGAGTCCTGGCTTCCAGAAACAGGATTGCCAAATTGTCCCTGTGGGGCTAGATTCTTACCAGCTTAAGAAGGATATTGCTATCTTCTTAGTACCTGTACCTTAGGATTTCCAACTGTTTTGAAAGGGAAATAGTAACAGTGATCTGCTTAGAGTGGATTTTCACTCAAGTCCTTAGTGAGTGGATTTTGGGGAAAGGAGCACATGGGCTTCTGGTTCTTTTTGATAATATATAAAATTCTTCATTATGAAGTTGCGGTCGTTTGCAAAGGAGAGGCATTCAAATTTGAAAGGTTATTTTAATGTGATAATTTGGAAGACTTACTCAAATGTTGGTCATTGACCACTCTGTGCATATATTTCTGCAGAGCTCTATAAAGGCAATGAGTGTTACTTCCCTCTGCTCTAATAAAGCAATAAATAATAGCTAAAGGGCTGACTTTCACTTTGAACTCTTGGCCACGGCTTTTTGAATCAAGTATCTTTAGGTTTCCTTGGGATTAGAGAAAAGGTATGGAAATATTGTCTTTTTTTGTTGTTGTTGTTGTTGTTTTTTGGTCTTGCCATGTATCTGTAGGTTTTTTTCTTCCATGATGTGGTGGGCTCTGTGTGCCTTATTTAATTACCATGAGTCCATTTTGGGGTGTCTTCTCTTTTCATCTTTGTAGCCCTTTCTCCAAAGCTAGTGAGGAAGGTATATTCTCAACATTAGATATAACTTTATACCTGTCTCATCTCCGAGACCAAATGAAATTTGCATTAAATGGAGGGGCTCTGGTCAGGTTCCACTTTGGAAGTCTGATCCTGACTTCCTAGAGCCATTTGAAAAAGAGTCTTCTGGCTTAAAATTAAGAATCAAGAAAACAAGTTGGAAAGAGATCACTGATGGAGTACGTGCTCTATGCCAGTAGCACACTAATTCCTTTGGGGTTTAATTTATTTAATTTTTACAACAGTCTCATTTTTATCATCCCCACTTTAAAGCAGAAAAACCGGAAGCTTAAAGAGATCAACTGACCTGCCCAAGCTTCACCTGACAGCCAGTGTGCAAACCCAGGTGTGGTAAAACCCAGGGCTTGTCTCGGAAAGAAAACACACTAGGCTTTGTGGAACTCTGAGAGCTTGAGGTAGGTTAAGGCCACTGTTCCTTCACTTTCTTTCCTCAGTCCTGTTTTCAGGGTAGAAGGTACCCAGTCCTGCCACCCCAGAGGCGACTAAGCTCTAAATTCAAGAAGAAAGAACAGCCCATTGAGAGTCATGGTCTGGTGAGGGGCAGGTATAGTTATCCCTACATGGAACCATTTCCTTTATCTTACTTAGTTTGCAAAAACTTTGCAGATAAGGCTTTGTACAGAAAACTTCAAAGGAAATAGTTTCCTAATCTGGCCTAGGGCACACAGGTAAGAAAAGAAGAAACATCCTCTAAGCAGGTTGAGGGAGAGAAAAAAGAATGCGTAAGTCTTGAGGGAAGTGAGACAAGCTGGGATCCTCATGCTATTGTGTTACTCTGTGAGTCTCCCTGTAGCCCAAGTGGAAGCTTGGCTCCTAACAAACACGAGCTGCCAATTGTTGCCTTCTTCTGAGAGCCTTGCTAAAAAAGTAACTCTGGGAAAACTCTTATAGGTTCCTGACCATGAATCCACCTTTTGTATTCCCCCCAAAAGTTATTCAACTATTAGATCAATGGATAATAACTGTGAGGTTTTGGGTGACTATTTAGATGGAGGAAAGTGTATTAAGGTTGGAAACTAAATTCTATCCTTAATACTACTGTTTTCTTTTTTTTTTTTTTTTTTTTTTTTTTGCCTGATGTAAGTGACAGGCTTATATGTTAAAGATTGGCTTTAGGCAAAAAAGAAATACTCTGTGCAAAGTTTATTTCAGCTTGACTTGACCTACCATCTACAGACCTGGAGTCTGTAATTACCAGCTGTGGTGAAATGAATGATAGATTTCTTTCTACCTGCATACTCAGTGCAGTTATGCAAAAAATCCCCACGGGGTTGGGATAAGACGTAGAAGGCTGAGAGGGCTCAAAATGAATTTCACTGAGAGTTTGGCATGGGATAACCCTATAGTCAATGTCTGTTATGGTACCCTGTGTGCTCGTGACCTTCTTGGAGACAGGGCTCAGAGGTCATTCCTTAAATATAGACAGAAGTCATCTTAGTGTTCAGAACCATTCTGCGATCAGTGGCCTTAGAGCGTGTTCCCTCCTCCACTGTTCCCTACCGAGAGGGGATCCTGTAGTAGACTGGTGATCCCCACTGTTTAGAAGGTGGAGAGGGAGAGTAAATCTGGGTTTCTATATAAGAAAATAGGTGATTTCTTAGCTTCTTAAAATTGTATCCTGACAAAAGCTGAGTTAGCAGGACACCACCCTATCCCCACAATGGAGATCACAATGGGTAATTTGTTGATAAGTTCCTTAAATTTTTCACTTATAAAAATGGAAGTAAAGCTACCATTCTTTGTGTACAATGTAAAGTTAATGTACAACTGCATCAGAATTACCATACCAACGTCCAGGTACTAGGGAGTACATAGCCATTCACTCTCGCATCCTGCCGTTCATTCAGCATGTAGCCGTAGGGTGTAAAGCACTAGTCCTGGTGGAGTAAGCCCATCAGAGAATTAGGCTGTGAGGTGTCTAGACTGTCTTCCTCTCTCCATCCTGGAAGGAGGGCATCCAATTTATTTTTAAATGGTTTTATTCTAACATAAAGCAATCCATTTTTTGTTCTGTTATTTAACAGAAACTTTAGTACCAACTCTATTTCGTGGTTGTCGCAGTTGAAGTGTTTCTGGTTTATTTTTTGCTCAATGTGTAAAGAAACCTGCTGTGATTATTTTACAGATGAGAAACAGGCAGAGAGGACAAGGGATTTAAAAAGTTTCACAGTTAATTAGAAGTGGGGCTCCAACCTGATATCAGGATTCCTGACATCTCATTTCTCAAATAGTTTAACGATCACTTTTGGCTTTCAAGTAACTCCTTATTTTTACATTGGTTAATACTGTTTCTTAGCTATTTTTACCTGACATTTTCCTAACACATATCCAAAAAGGTAAAAGTTTCATTAAAGGATTCTAATGATCATTTTTAGTAGAAATAACAAACATTCAGTCATCATTCCTTTGCTTAAACCTTTAATATCTGGCTGTTACATAGAAATGAATTTCCAGATGTGAGAATCAGAACTGTATGGAAACGAATCTGGAAAAGTGTTGATTATCCTTATAGGAGCATACGAACTCAGGATTGGAAGAGATTTTATAGTTCATAAAGTTCAACCTTTAATCTCTATTTCCATCCCAATACTTGGAAATAAGTCTAAGGTTCCACATGTCAAAATAACAATTTTTGTTACATTTAGCAAACATATGCTAGGCATTTTTCTAAGTGTGTTGTCAGTATTATGTCTTCCTCATATTGGCCCTATGAAGTAGGTACTCTTCATATCCCCATTTCACAGATGGGGAACAGGCACAGGGTGGTAGGGGTAAACAGGAGTCAGGATCCGAAGTCCGGCAGTTTGGCTCTAGAGTCTAAGAGCCTGACTACTTTCTGTTATAGGGCGTCGCTCCATAAGATAAACTCGAAGGAAAAGGAGGGGCAAGGGCAGGCAGTGAAAATCCACTTGACAGAAATACCAAGGAAAAGCGGCTGAGCCTGGTGGAAAAACCAGAACCTTAGGAATTGTGCAGGAGTCTGGGGGAAAGCGTGAACAGGCACGCGGGCCTCAGAGAGAGCTTCACGCGTTAGCCCCGTGTTTCTGGCAGGTCTCTGCTGTTAGACTTTGGTTTTCCCCTTGCTCAGAGCTACTGAACAGCTGAGCTGCTAGTTAGACTAGGTTTTCAAGTTTCAAGAACACTGCCACCTCTCTTGTAAGCACCATCCAGCTGGAAGGTTGAGACTGGGTTGGTTTTCAGAGGTGCCAGTGGCAGAATCAAAGCCACACACTAGGAATTTTTGTTTTGTTTTCTACTTGACCTCTGTCTCTAGCAGATTATTGGTGGTGACCGTTTATGCAAAAAAAAAAAAAAAAAAAAAATTCTGAGTCCCTATCCCCCCCAACCCCCACTTTCCCGACCTTTCCTGTTTCCTGCCACCAAAGAAATGAGAGCTGGGATCGAAATCAGGCTCAGTGCCACAGACAGAATGAGAAAGTGTGTTTTTAATGGTTTTCATCACATCATGCTGGGGATGATACAGTCTGTGCATTTAGTTCAAGTCCTGCCCTCGGAGAACTCTTGGGTGGGGTCGTCACACAGTAGCCCTTGTGCTGTGCCTAACTGTTACGAGGCCAGCCCCTTCACTTGTTTTAAGCTTTGGGGGTTTCTTTTGTTTGCCTGTGGTTATTTTCCTGCCTTTGAACTGGTCATACCCCAGTTTTACACTGGGAATATTATCAGTTTCCTATTACTGTTGTAACATTGCCATAGACTTACTGGTTTCGAACAATTCACATTTATCGCTCCAGAGGTCAGAAACCAGAAATGGATTTCAGGGGGTAAAGGAAAGGCTTTGGACACTCGGGAGAACCCTTTTCCTTGCCTTTGCCACCTTCTGGAGGCCACCCCCGTCCCCCTGGCTGGTGGACCCTTCCTCAGTCTTCAAGATAAGCAGAGCGGCATCTGCCAATCCCCAACGCTCCTGCCTCCCTCTGATTCATACGGAGCCCTGATTCCGCTGGGTCCACCCCATCAGTCTTTCCATCACTCCTGCCTCCCTCTGTGATTCACAAGGAACCCTGATTCCACTGGGTCCACCCCGTCAGTCTTTCCATCACTCCTGCCTCCCTCTGTGATTCACAAGGAACCCTGATTCCACTGGGTCCACCCCGTCAGTCTTTCCATCACTGCCTCCTCCCTCTGTGATTCACAAGGAACCCTGATTCCACTGGGTCCACCCCATCAGTCTTTCCATCTCAAGAGCCTTAATCACATATGCAAACATCTCATCTGTCATATGAGGTAACATTCACTGGTTCTGGAAATTAGGATGTGGACATCTTGTGGGGGCACATTGTACCTACCACAGAATATAGGGCCCCTTCCGTAACTCTAAGCATGGCCTCCTTCCACCCCCATCGGCCACCCTCCCTACCTCCACACCTTTCACTAGGAGGTCTGCTCCTTTGTCATGTCTCAGGATTCCCAACAGCAACTCTCCCACCCCCACTCAGACACTCAGGACGTGTTGAGTTCCTCCTGCCAGCCTCAGTCTTAGTTATGGCCTCATGGTGTTAGGACCGACCAAGAGCTTCTTTCCCTTTCTTTTCTTTGCCTCTTGCCTCCTCCTCCTCCCCCAGCCACCCCACACACACTCGCCCAGCTTCCCAGTGGATCTCTAAGGGAGAAACGCAGAGAGTTATTGCTTTTTAATTACAAGTGCTATTGTAGCATCTATAAGGAAGTACATTTTAAGCTTAATTGAGACCAAATGTGAAGTTAAATTAAATGAATAACTAATTAACGTAATGCTCCTGCATTAGCCCCGTGTGAGTGCTGAGGCCCAGGGAGAAGGCAGGTACCAGGCCTCTGGTGAACTGGCTGTGCCCAGAGCTGCCCAAGCAGGGCCAGCAACCTGGGACCTGGGAGATGGGTGCAGACAGGCAGATCTCAGGGCTGGGGTTCCGCCAACCTTCGGCATTTTTCCCAACTCCCTACCCACAGCCTAAGTCCTCATTTCTGAGGCCAGACCCTGAGCTCCCACAATGCCTTTTGCATGTATCTAGTGCTACACTTACCTGCCGGTAGAAGCCAATGCCATTTGTTCAGTTTTCAGTCTCTAAGGCCTAACATCGTAGGAGTTGGATAAGTATTCATGTTAACTTCCTCCCTCTTCCACTACCCCTCACTACCTTATCAAATGAATCATCCAAGTCCTGAGAATTCTGCCTCCATAAGGAAGAAGGACTCTTGCTGTTGCCCCTGGAATCGCCCTCCTGCCAGCCCTGTTCCTGCATGGCTGGACTAATGAACAGCACAGCTCTCACCTGGAGCCACTGTCTCCGTGTATTTTCCTACTTATCCCCTAACTAGACAAGGGCAGGAGTGTGATGACTATGTTTGTCTCCCTTCATACCAATCCTATGAGGTAGGTAATGTCATCATTTTCCTGATGACGAAACAGGCTTAAAGTTAGTAAGCAGTGCAGCTGGCGAAGAGACCTCGAGAGGCCCATTCCTCTTCCCCTGCCCTCTGAAGAAGAAAGCAAGTTGAAAGTCTGAAAAGTCAAGAGGCGCCTGCTCCTGTCTCTCTTCCAGGAAGCAGGATGGAACCACAGCCCACCCTGGGCTGTATGATGGGATTGGGTCACCATCTAGTGGCCCATGTAAGCAACACAGCTTCTCCTTAAGCTCCTTAATCACAAGTGCTATTGGAGCATCTATAAGGAAGAACATTTTAAGCTTAATTGAGACCAAATGTGAAATTAAATGAATAACTAATTTCATTTCATTCTCAATGTCAAAGAGCAGCGGAGAGCAGCTTTCGTGAATGCTGAACATAAGGCCAGAGTATAGCTCTTGCCCCTGTGGGCTCTGAGGACTTGGAGGTCCCTGGCTGACTCCTACGCTCAGAGCTGAAGTGACTACAGGCAGGAGGAGGCTTCCCTGTTGGTTGCCACTGGCGCCTGTGCAGCCTGCTTCAGCGTGGAAGGGTGTGTATCTGGCTAATGCACCAGCCACCACATCCCAGGAAATGCAAGGCTTGTATCTTGTATGGTGCTCTAAGCTCCCAGTTTGCCCACACATCATCAGTGTCCTGAGCATCCCCCTCAGGAATGCCCACTGTCAGCAGCTTTAACCGACCCCCCTGGTGGTCCTGGGACCCCACTTCAGCAGCCCATTCGAGCCCCGCTCACTACCGAGCTAAGCCCCAACAAGGATGAGCATGGGCGCAGCAGGTCAAAGGGAATCTATTGGTGCCAATGGGCAACTTTAGGGTCAGATGGTGATGCCAAGAGCTAGCCAGAAGACTGAGTGATCCGGGACTTGGGGTGGAAGGAGGATACAGAAAAGTGGAAAAGGGAGCGGCAGATGGCGCCAGGCGACCACACCTGTAGCAACTGCCTGAATGAACCATGCATGCCCTCACATCTTGCCAGTCTTGTCACCGCTGGCACTTGTGCTCAGGGCGTAAGTCCTTCTTGTGTCCATTGTCTACTCCATTCCTAGAGCAGAGCTGGCATACAGTAGGCACTCCTTGGCATTTCATTCTCAAAATACTTAATACACATACTGGTATTTTTAGTCATGCCAACTCCTCTTTCTACTCTTCCCCACAGCACTGGCCCCCAGTCACCTTCCACTGAGGACATTATGGGGCCAGGATCAGAGTGAGGCAAGGGAGGCACTCAGGGCCGGCCTGTGCCCAAGAGGGAGTGCCCCCTCAAATTATGTACTGAAGGCAGCTCCCCTGCCTCGCCCGAGTGCTGGCCCTGGAGAAACAGCAGTGATGGGCAGGTAAGGGAGTTATCAACAGGCCTAAATGGAGGGTAGAAGAGGGCCCAGCTTGGGGAAATGCACAGAGAAGACTGTTTCATGGATAGAGGGACAAAGAGAGGCTGGGCTCCTTTGACGGAGTGAGATGCCCACCTACAGATACAGGCAGATTACAGAGATTAAAATTTAACATGGGAAGGAGAGATGCACATTTTCCAGGCCTTGGCCTTGTGAAGCCTTCTGTCTTGGAATCTGAACAAGCAAAAGTCTGAGCATATCCTTCCCTTATCAAAATGGAGACACAACTCAGCCCCAGTCCCATGCCCTTTGCTTGCAGCCTCCAGAGCTCAGGCCCCTGAATCTTCTATTTCCTCATGCTTGGCAGTCCCCTTCCCATGGAGAATCTCTGTGTCCTTAGGCAGCCCTGGGTCTGGACTGGGCTGGCTGATGTTCAGTTAAGAGGGGTTGCCTCCCTTACTTGTGGAAGTTTTCATTGTCTTGCCCATGGGGAGCACACTGGGGACCCAACTGGGGCCTTCCATGCTGCTCTTCCAACTGGGGCCTCATATTTCTTTATACCTGCATGAAGAGGAAAGAGGGGCGGAAGAGAAAGTGAGACAACTTCATAAGCTCCTGCTGACCGGGGAGAGGAAAGACAGGGTCCCAGGGTCCCGTCATCATTGCTTTCATCTCAGTTCTCTGTAATTAGACCTCTCAGGCAGGAAATATTAAGCCACATTAATACTTAAAACCTGGCCGGGCACGGTGGCTCACGCCTGTAATCTCAGCACTTTGGGAGGCTGAGGTGGGCAGATCACCTGAGGTCGGGAGTTCAAGACCAGCCTGACCAACATGGAGAAACCCTGTCTCTACTAAAAATACAAAATTAGCCGGGCGTGGTGGCGCTTGCCTGTGGTCCCAGCTACTCGGGAGACTGAGGCAGGAGAATGACTTGAACCTGGGAGGCGGAGGTTGCAGAGAACTGAGATTGTACCACTGCACTCCAGCCTGGGCAACAAGAGTGAAACTCTGCCTCAAAAAAAAAAAAAAAAAAAAAAAAAAAAAAAAAAAAAAAAAAAAAAAAAGAGAAATTAAAATCTTACAATGTTCATGCCACATTTGACAGCTTTACAAAGCAACATCACATATCCCATCTTATCTCAGCCTCAGGTCAATTCTGCCGGGTATTCAGGGATAAGCATCCCTGTTTATACATAAAGATGTGGTGGTTCAGAGAATCTGGGTGCTATGCCCAAGGTCTTACGGAGTGAGTGGAGAAAGCGGGACTGTCCAGGGGTTTTTGGATTCCAAGTCCAGTGCTCTGTCTGCTCTGACAAATTACTGCACACCTCACACACAGGCTTCCCGTGGAGAAGGACCAGCCTGGGACAGCAGTGGCAGGTCCAGAGAAAAGCAAACAACCCCCAGGCCCAGGTTCAGTGTTAGGCTGTGCCCGAGCTCTGAGTCTCTGCCTCTCACCTCCAATGAGAGGCTGCTGCGAGGCAAGCTCACACATCGAAAGCCAGACACAACTCCAGGCACCGAGCACTTGCTCACTAAATACTCCTTCTCCCTTTCTGCTGCTCTTCTTCCTCCCACCCTCAGGTCTGGCTCCAAGGAGCACAGGCACAGGAACTTTGCCCTTCCAGGACAGGCAGGGCAGGACAGGTGCTCTGTGTGCTTCCTGTGTCGTGTGTCTTCCTGCTCTCACTTCCTCTCCCCTGCGTGGTGTCTTCCTTAAGTGGAAGTGCGTCCCCGGATGCGTGCTGGTTACCATGACCCAGGGGGTTCCTCCTCACGTTTGCCATCCAGCCCAGGTCCACGGCTCCGGCCAGCTCGTTAGCGGCCTCCTTGTTAGCACGAGGCTCCTGCTCAGGACGCCCAGCGGGAGAGGGTCGCCCACCATCAGACCACCAGCACTGTGCAGCCTCAGCCACTAACCTACTGGTGCCACCACCATATCCACCACCACCAGACAGGAGGCAGAGAGCACACCAGGCCAGCACCCGTGCTTGATTCACGTTTGTTTCAGAGACTTTGATTGGTAGTTGCTGTTTTTCTGCATACCCCAGGCAGAGGGGCCAGATGACCTTGGTTTCTGAACTTCAGGAGGCACTTGTAACTCAGTCTCAGCTCAGAGGGAAACTGGTTTCCCTATTTCTGCCTCCTCTGTCCCCGGAGGGCACGTCCAAAGTTCTAACACTGTCCCTCAGGGAAGAGGCCGCCAACCTCTGTGGCATCTCAGACCCCTTGGCAAACACTTCCCAAGCACTATGCTCTGCTGAGGTTGAAAGTCTTTACAAGTGGCCCACAAGAAAAAAGAGAAAGTTGGAAAAAGTCATACTGTAGGACAGGATTTGCATGCAGCCCCCATTCAAATGGCACTTGAGTTACAGACTCGAAGTAAATACTCACAAAAGTCATGGGACTTGAGGGAAATACTATCGCTGGTGGGTTAGGACCACACTAGAGCTATGGAGACACACGGGGACAACAGGGGACAGGTTAGCAGGGCGGGGCCACCCAGGGACTGGCTCAGTGCTCCTCAGGTCTGGGCTGGAGGAGCCTCAGCCTGCGTTTGGAGAAACTGAGCCCTGGGCTGATTCCCATGAGAAGTGGGTTTGGCAGAAGGGTAACTTCAGCTCCCCAGAGGACTCACCCGCTGCCTCTGCTCAGGGACACCTTCCAGGCCAAGATCTCTTTGTACACTAACCGACAGAGGAGCTGTGGAGCACAAGGCGCAGAGGGAAGGGAGGGCACCGTTAGCATTGAGCACTGAGTGCCCAGCGCCAGGTGACCCGTGGACTGGCAGTGGAGAAGGGGGAGAGACACACTCCCATTTGGCAAGGGGTCACTCAGGGGAAGGGAGAGTGCTTCTGAGCAAAGGGCAGCTGCTCTCATTACCCCAGAACCCCCAATGGCCAATGCTTTGGACCTCCAGGGTTGCAGCCTCGCAGGACGGAGCATCCCTTAATACCTATCTGTGTACCCCAAGACTCTTACCAAGCAGGCTAGGACGTCGGCAGAGATGAGCATGTAGAAGACGTTGTTCCAGCCCGTGGGGGAGATGAGACCAGCCAGCAGAGGCCCCAGAGCTGCGCCTGAATAGAGCACAGCCTCGTGAGCAGGGGGACCTGCACCTCCCCTGCCCACCGGAGGGCACTATGCCCAGGGGCCGGCCCACAACAGAACTAGAGTCACAGACCTATGGAGCCAGTGCCGTCGATGATGGCCGTGACTGTGGACAGGGCTTTGGCGTTGCCCTTCAGGCTCTTGTGAGTGCCCTGGAGAGAGACAGTGGAGTGGGAAAGCCCAGCCGAGCGGCTGCAGGAGCGGAACCAGGACAGGAGCGGGGCTGACTCAGGGAAGGTGGTGACTGGGGTTTGGGCTTGAGAGGAGAGGGGCCCATGGTACATTCTGAAGTTCTTTGATGGTTTCTCCTCTGCAGGATGGGAGACAGTGGGAAATGGACCTGGAGATGGTGGCCCTGACCAAGTCCCCGGAGTGGTTCCTGGCCCTTGGGAGGTGGCCCCACTTACCAGGTCAGCAGAGACAGCAGTGGTGATGAGCGCGTATGGGCCGTTGACCAGGCCACCGCAGATGATCAGCATCACTGGGATGGCACAGAGACAGCCCAGTCAGAGAGGAGGCACCACTCACAGCCCCAGCCCCAGGGCAGGAGCACCCTCTGGCCTTCAGCCCTCCCAGCCCCTCCACCTGCCAGTGCCCCCATGTGGGCCGGCCTCATGGGGCCCCCAAGGCAGTGCCTTTCCCATGGCCTGGCAGGACTTGCAACCTCCTCCTCACCTATGGAGCTGGTAATCCCGTCCTGGCCAATGTAGTTGTACAGGAACATCTGAGAGAGGAGAGGGGAGAGGCAGAGTCACCCAGAATCCCTTTGCCGGCCTGGAGCCCTGAGGTCTGGAACAACCGTCTCCTGCCCTGAAACCCCAGAAGGCATCCTATTCCTTTTCCCTCGCATACCCAGATTTCTCTGGTCTTTAAATGTCCCAGGATGGACGGTCTAAAACGTGGTACTCTATCATCTCCCTTTCTCCCAACAGTCTTCTCTCAGATTCAACCTCAATCTCTTCTTTCCTTGATCAAGACGTTTAGGAGGTGGTCTCCTTCTCTACCAAGGCCAAACAGTCATGAATCTCCGTCTAAAGTCTGCAGTCTGGCTCTTTTTCCAAGGTGCCTCTGCTGACCCTTGCCTCTCCTCCCCCGTGTGCGCACAGGGACGCACGTGCACGTGTACACAGAGACATCCATGTGTGTAACACGTGGACGTGCACACAGGCCAGAGGCCCACACAGGCTCCTGCTCACATGCATCCGCACTTGACCCTCGAGGTTATACGCACCATGGGGGCAGCCAAGATGAGCATGACGCAGCAAGTGGTGGCCCTGCCATTGGTGTAGTCAGAGATGAGCCCTGCCATGATGCCGCCTGGAACACACACCCACTCACACACTGCCTCCCAGACAGGACCACCCATCCCCTCACCTGGCACCCCAGCTGTGCCCAGTGCTGGCCTGGGCCTGCCAGCAAGAACCAGCAGAGCTGCTTTGTCTGCAGCCCTCCCCTTCCTCTAGTGCCCATCACTACTGGAGACCAAACAAAAGGGCATCTTTCTTAGGCCCACCCAGCCAGGCAGGAACAGAACTGAGAATAAACCCAGGAGCCATTTTTCCTCTGGTGCCACCTACCCGGGTCATAGCCCATTGGACCTGTCCCTTCTTCCTGCACCCCACAAGAAAAGAGCGGAAGGGAGACTGCTGGCAGAGCACGGCAGGGCCTCACCTATGATGCCACCAACATCAAAGAGTGTAGACAGGTCCCCAGCCTCCTTGGCACTAAAGTGAGCTGTGGAAAACACAGGTATGTGGTCAGACCTGGGATTCAGGACAAACATCCTTGAGCGTCACAGCTAGAAGCCCTGCAGAGCATGATCCAGGCCACTGCCCCCTTTTCTGAGGAAGAGCTAGGGATGTGTGGAGCAGGCTGGCCAGGGCCACAGGGTGAGAGCGCAGCAGTTTGGACAGATGCCCTCCTGGTCCCGTCCTGTATTGCCCTCTTCCCCTGCAGGATGACCTTCACCTCCCAGAACAAGCCCTCCCTGGCAAGCCCTGGGATCTGGCCCCCAAGCCTGCTGTCCCGCGGCCACCTTTCCCCTGGAACACAACCTGAGGCTCAGCCCAGCCCCTTCTCTGCTTCACTGGGGCCCTAGCAGCACTAGGCGCTCTTCCCGTTTACCTGAGGCTGTGCTCATACACGGCCAGGAAGGAGACTTGCAGGGACACAGGGGCCTCAGGTAACAGGCCTTGGCTCCATGTTTTAAAAAAGGAATGTCCAGAAGCCGAGATTGTAGCCCCACCCTCGAGATTGCCTCATACTCTGAAGTCAGCACCAAGGCCACAAAACATAGAGTCACGGTGTCCAAGAAGCTGCCCTAGCGCTCCACACTGTCACAGAGAGAGGCCCCGACAGAGCTGCAGGGCAAGCTACGGCTTGAGACTTGGCCATGAGTAATTCCTGCAGTATCCTGTTCAGAGCAAGCATAATGTGTGGCAAGGCGCTGTCGTTCCTCCCCAGGGCTGGGAGGGAGGGGAGCAGGACTGGGTGAGAGGTCCTCAGCCCTGCTGGAGCTTGGAGGCTCCTGGGGGCTGGGCAGGGTGGGGTGGGCTGCTCTTTGGTAGCCCAACCTATGGAAAAGCCGAGACCCAGGCCAGGTGGACATGAAACATCCTTTTTCAAGTGATCTCTTCTCATCTATACATCCCTGGGCAGGGGCAGCAGGGAGTAGGTCCGTGAGACAGGGCAGAACACCAGTGCAGCCCAGCAGACCCAGGCATAGGGGCATCAATCCCATGAAGTCCCACTGGGAGACCACCATGGTCACCACCAGGCTACAAGGAGTGGGGTCACTCATCAGGCCCTCTTCCTTGGACTGGGGACAGATCCGGCAGGCAGGCCTTTCCTAGCACCTCCCAACCCTACCACCTGTGAGCCTGGAGGGTCTTCTCCTACACTAAGGGCTAGAGAAGAAGATAGCAAGAATTGCAGAACAGAGCACTGAGTTCCTAATCCCCAGCTCAGTTCCAATGGAGGGAAGGTGGCTGGAGTCAGGGTCTAGGGGGTAGTGTGCTGGGTTTAGCTTTCATTTAAATAAAGAACTAAATCAAGCTCCTTTCACTCTAGGAGAGGTTCAGCAGGAATTCTGCCTATCTACTGGAATCACAGGCATCACCACGACGGGCTTCCTCTCCCACCAGAGGTGGCCTTGCCTCCTCAGAGACCCCTTCATTCCCCTTCTCTTGGACTTACCCACATTGGAGATGTAGAGGGGCAGCCAGTAGAGGAAGGTGTAACTGACCAGCTTGGCAAACAGCAGACACAGAGAGAACTCGACCACGCCCTGGGGAGTGCAACAGGGGGCACATGGGAAGGGGTCCAGAGGTCCTGGGTTCAGTGGTGGCCCCGAGGGGTGCTCAGCACCACCGCAGTACTTTCCATCACCTGCCACACAAGGCAGCCTCCAACACATCCAGTCCCAAGAAAAGCAACATGACCACGTGCAAGGTCGTTTCAAGACAAGTCTCCCACACCGCCCTCCCCAGGCAGGCTGCCCAGCTTCCATCTCCCCTATAAAGAAGTTCTAGAAAAATAGATCACCCAAGCACCCCATCTCATCACCAACAGAAAAATATGGAGAGCCCCTCTCTTTCCTCCATTCCGCAAACTTCTTACTGGGATCCGGAGCGCCCCAAAGAAGTCGATGGCAGCAGGCTCTTCACATGGCCCCTTGGAGGTTTTGGCCACAGTCTCAAGGCCGCTGTCTCTGACAGAGCAGGGACTGTTCCTAGGGTCCTCAGGGTTGTCCTGGTTCTCAGCTGGCTCACCCTGAGCAGAGGAGATGAGCCCTGATGTGGGTGCGTCTGTGAGCTGCCTCCCACCAGCTGAAGGTGTAGCCCAGGCAAGAGACACTGGCTCCCAGGACGGGGAGGCACATGTTCATCTCGGGCTGGACTGACCTGCCAGACCCATCAGGCTGGAGGGCCAACCCATGTGCCTAGCACTGGGTCTGTGAGGTCAGTGAGGGCCAGAACTCTCTGCGCTAGCTCCCCAGGCCTCTCTGCGTCCAGCACTCTGGATGGAGTTGGAGGGCAGGGATGGGGCTGGGAGGGCTCACACTCACATGGTGCTGAGGAGGGGAGCAGTCCACATCTTCTGGGTCTGGAAAAAAAAAATTGCCTTCTAAGAAGCTTCCCAACCCCCCCAATCCCAAGGTGATTGCCAGGCCCTCACCTTGCACTGGGTCTAAGACATCCCAGGAACCGGCCCCACCTCCAACTCCTAAGGTGGCCAGTGTGTGTCCCAGCAGGAGGGAGCAGGGCCTGGGGCTCAGGAGACAGCTTTCTAGGCCTGGCTTTCCTAACAACCAGCTGTGTCACTACTGCCTCTTGGACTTTAGTACTCTTAGCTACAGAGTGGCTCTCATACCTGGCCTGGCTAGTGCACAAGGCCACCTGCAGCAAGTGGAGAGCCTGGTCACTGTAAGAATGTCCCTTCAACTCCACCTTCCTTGCTCACACCTCTCAGATTCAACCAATGCTTGCCAAGCACCTCCTATGGGCCAGGCATTTTAACTATGGTGTCTCAGTTAAGCCTGCAGAAATCCTACAAAATAGACATTATTATTACTATTATTATTTTACAAATGAGAAAATAAAGGCTCTGAGAGATTGTCCAAAGTCTCAAGGCTGGTCCTCCCACTCTGTGACCAGCAATCTTTCCAGTAGATCCAGCTGCCTTCTCCCAGAAATCGAGACATTCTAGGCTCACTTGTGGGGTCTGTGGGGAGTGAGGGGCCCACTCACGTTCGATGAGGAAGAGGAAGGTGATGACGCCCATGATGGCGGTAATGATGCCAGGCACGACGAACGACAGGCCCCACTGCCCATTCACCCAGATGCCGGCGATCAGGGAGCCCAGGATGTTGCCCACAGATGTGTGGGAATTCCAGATGCCCATGATGAACCCCCGCCTGGAAGGGAGGGAGAGAAGGGAAGAGGGTAGAAAAAGTAAAAAGCAAAGCACATTGTTCATAGCAACGGCCCCAACCAAGCTCTAAAGCTGGGCTGACTACAGCTTCCCTAAGGCACCAAAGACTGAGCCCCAAAGCCGCAAGTCAGCAAGGAGTGGGAGACCTTGGGTGGTGTCAAGCAGGTAGCTGCGGGGCCTGGGGTCTCGCTCCCCCTGCCCAGCTCCCTGAGTGAGTGCCGATGGGAGCTCGAGCCACACCGAGGGCATGGGGGCCCGGCCCTCGTTCTTTTCTGTCCCACCATCTCACTTTAAAGCACTGTCCTCAACCAGGGACATCTGGTAACAGCTAGAGATTTTTGATGGTCACAACTCGGGGTGTGCTATGGCATCCAGTGAGCAGATGCCAGGAAGGCTACTACTAAATAGCCTGTAGTGGTAGGACAGTCCCCAAACAAGGGTCCAATAGCCCAGAAAGTCAGTAGTGCCAACGTCGAAAATCCCTTCTCCGAAGCAACTTTGTTTAGCACACAAGCCAATTAAGGGGGGGGAAACGTTTTATAGGCTTTTTGTCTTTGTTGAAAATAGAAATTCATCTATTATTAGAAAAAAGCATAACTAAGGTTGCCTGCTCTATGGGTTAAAGCCTCATCAATGAGAAAATCAGCCCTGCTTTTAGCCACTGCTAAGCATGTGAACAGCAACTCAGAGGCCGCTTTCTGACCCTTCCCTCTGAAATCACATCAGAGGCCACAGTGACCAGCTCGGGACCCCCAGCCCTCCCAATCCTTCCCACTCCTCCTCCCTTGTCACACTCACTTCCCCTTCCCGAACCAGTTGCCAACGCAGGTCACCACAGAAGGCCAGCCTGTGGTCTGGACGAGTCCATTACAGACCTGCAGGGAGAGGGGAGGGAGGGTGGGAACAGACCTGGGCTGAGCAACTGGCTCCCTGCTCTGACTACTCTGGGCTGAGGAGGTTCAATTTTATGGCCAAGGAGCCCTCCATACCCCACACTACAAACCTTGCCCTTTCCTTACACACATGCCACACCTCCCCAGTGTCATGAGCTGGCTTCTCTCGCTCAAGATTGTTCAAGCAGAGACCAAGCCTCTCGGGCATCAGAAGTGAGCACGGCATTGTGCTCAAGGCCAACTCTCTGAGTGAATAAATGTGGGGGCAGTAGGACTAGGAGGTGGAACCCAGTGCAGTGTAATAGATAGCACCAGACAGGGAGCCAGGAACACAGGCTCCCATCCGCTGTGAGCGGCGGTCTCCCAGGTCCTTCCCGAGACGGGAACACAGGCCCAAGTGCAAGACGGTGACTCATACCTGGATGACCACAAAGTACCAGAGCTCGTGGATGTTCCAGAAATATCCCAGGCCAAAGAGTGAGGTGAAAAGGCCACTGAGCAGCATTCCAGCTGAGAGGTAGTAACGGAGCGGAAGCCGCTCCCCGAAAACCCCACTGGGAAGAGAAAGTTGGATCTGCGGTTAAGCTCCTCTGAGTCCACCTCAACTCCCTACCACATTTCTGCCCCCACCACACTAGGAAGTGGCTCTGGCCAAGGTCCTACCAATGACCTCTGTGTGGCCATGTGACGGGGCCAACCTCTGTCCCCCACTGCTTCTGTGACACCTGGCCATGCTCCATGACTTTAGCCTGCCCATCTTCCTCGCTTGGCCAGCCGCTCCCTGTCGTGGATTTTCCTCTTGGAGCAGCCTTTTGCATCACTTTTACAGTTGTAACAACCACCCATAAGCTAAATAGCTCCACATGCATATCTTCAGGCCTGATCTGTCTCCCAGAGCTTCACAGTCAGTCGCAGCCAGGTGCCTCCTTTATTCAGATGCCCCTGGGGCATTTGAAACCCAGTGCTCTTAAGCTGAATTCCTCTTCCTCCTCCTGCCACCCCCCGACGCCTTCATCATCCTGCTATCCTTATCTGCCTTATCTGAGTGAATGCCACCCCTTGGCCACTCAAGCCAGGCTCAGAGCTCCCGCCCCTCCTCCCCACCCCTCACATTCAGTATCCAAGACTCACCCGGCTACCTCTTAGCTAGTGCTCCAGTACATCGCCTCTTTCCACCTCTAGCACCACTACAGTAACACAAGCTCAACAGCTTGGGCTGTTGTCAAATTGGTCCCTCTGTGTGACCAGTCTCATCCACCTCAGCATCACTCTCAGAGTGAGCTCTCAGATATGCCCATCTGGATGGGACACCCTGGCGAAAACCCTTCCGTGCATCTCTGCCCGTGGACCTCATGTGCAAATGACCTCAGCCCTCAGCCCTCAGCCCTGCTGCTACCTTCCCTACATTGTCACTCCCTCCATACACCTGCCCGCAATTCCTCCCATAGGTCATGCTGCTTCTTCACATTTGCCCTACTTGCTCCTGCTATTCCTTCTGCCTAGGTCTCCATCTGCTCTGCTGCGCCCAAGTCCCTTGCATCAGGTCAGGCACCATCTCCTCCAAGAAGCCGTCCCTGACCCCTCTGCTCTATCTCAGCGTGGACTGAGTAATGACCTCAGAGCTCCCAGAACACCCGATGGCCACGTCTGTCATGGAGCCGGCCACAGTTTTAGCACCAGCTGCCGATGCATCCATTGCCCTCACTAGCCTGTGAGCTCTTTGGAGGCAGTTTGCAGCCTTATTGATCGTGGCTTCCTGGCAAGGAACAGCATGCTTCCCGAGCTGGTTTCGACGCAGCAGAGGACGGGGATTCTCCCCGCTATATGTGCACACAGGGCCATCCTTAAAGGGTCCCAGTCCATACCCACCAACTGTGCTATCTGAATAAACAGACTCAAAGGAAACATCCAGGAAAACCTTTCCAGGCAAAAGAGCTGCTGCCAGTGGGAGTCTACCAGGCGAAGGAGCAGTCCTGAGACCGTGGTAAGGCAAGGAGGATGGCTGTGGGTGGATTGTATGTGCAGCGTCCCTGATCTCACTCCCACGTTGGGGAGCCGTCACTCCCTGGTGGGAGTTCGCTTCAACCCAGCTGCCCCCGGGTTCCTTAAGGGGAGGCAGCAGCTCTAAATCCTCCTCTTGGTCACAGGCTCAGCCTCTGTCCTTACCTGATGAACATGCCAATGGCATAGGCGACGAGGAAGGCGTTGTCCACGCCCGCCAGTAACTCCTTGTAGTTGTCCTTGTCTGAAAGCAGATGGGAGGAATAGAAAGCTGACTGCATGGATGCCCCTGCAGGAAGCCCTCCCTGGACAGCCCCTTCTCGAGGAAGAGGGAATGGGGAATGGGAAGAGCACCTTGCCCTGTGCTTACCAAATGGGGCCCAGCTGCACCACATGGTGTCATTGAGACTGTGAGTATCATTGATGGGTTTGATCTGCTCCGAGCAGTTCTGGTGCAGACGGCTCTGGAGAGGCAATGGGACACACAGGTCAGGGGTTGACCCAGAGGGGAGCAAGCAACCACCTGCCCCAACCATACCAGAGACACTGCCTCCTAACCAGATTCCATGTCCCCCTACTGGCACCTCCTCCTGCAGGAACTGGCTGCAGGGGAAAGTGGCCACATCAGAGCCATGAGCAGCATCCACACAGCCCAGGGGCCCTGCACGCTTATTCCATCTACAGCCACCCACACAACTGTCTTGGGGAATAAACTCAAAAGGAGCCTCGGTGGCCATGGGAAGGGGTAAGGACGGTTATGACAGTATGCTTCTGCATTCCTCCTTGCTGCCAGCCAGCCTCACTTTGACGACACTGATGGGCTTCCTGGACATGTGATAGCAGGTGTAAATGAGGAAGGTCAGCAACAGGATGGAGCCTCGGAACCTGCAGGAAGGGACGGCATCTGTGTTAGTGGGAAGTCAGCCCCGGCTGGAAGTTCTGGGCCGGCATCCCCGACCCGTGTCCCCTCTGGCAGTCCCAGGGCCTGGGCACCACCAACTCTTTCCTTCTTGGTGCAGAGGCCAAGGGGAGGCTGGGAAAAAATGCCCAGAGGCCAGGGTGCTCAGGGGACCTGTCTCCCTGGTCCCAACTCCTGAGGCCTCTGTTGGAGCTGGCTCGGCCCCAGCCCACGGGAAGCACCTCTGCCTGCTCTGACCAGCTGGCAGCACCTCTGCTTTTCGTTGGCCTCCCTGAGGTCAGGGCGCCTGTGTGTGTGCGTGTGTGCGGCAGAGGTGGGGGCAGGGAGTTCGAGTGGTTTTCACATGTCTGAAATGATTGGCAGTAGGAAGGAGACTGAGTCAGTCAGGAGAAGTGTCTGCTTTTAAAATGAGGTCGACACTCCTCTGAAGCTTCCACCAGGGCAGACACAGCACCTCCTTCAGCCAGGTGGTAGTTGGAAAAGAGGTGGCAGTGGGACAGCCGGTGATGGACCCAAGCCTTCTTCTTAGTCCCAGTCTGTCCTTCCCACTGGACAGAGCCCATTCTTTCCATCTGTGACTCACACACATGTGCTGTCTCCCACTCCTCACGTCTCATCCCATGCCCTGGCCCAGGATGGAAAGAACAGTCCAGTTGGGTGGCACTCAGCATTTCCGCTGCGCCCCGGCTGCTCCCTGAGCCTGAGGCCTGGGGAAGGACCCCAGAGCCCTGCTGAGTCACTGTCTGCTTCCTCGCCGCAGCCAGGAGCCAGGACATGCATGGAAAATAGGCCTCAGAGTGGAGCCCCAGTCCAGGAGAAGGGGCCAGGAGTTAGGCGAGACCCAGGGCTCACTGAAGACTTCATGGAGAAGGGTCAGGAAAAAGGGTGGGAGGGCTCCTGAAGCTCTTTCTGTCCTGGCTCCGAGAGCCCAAGGGCGGGACACTGGATGCTCCCTCTGCCTAGGGATCCTCCTTCAAACCCACTTCCCCCAAATGTGGCATGAAGCAACACCCACTACCACTTGGGAAATAAAGGGGCATTTCAGCGAAGCCCGAATGGGCTTGGGCTACAAGGCTCCTTCTCACTTTGCCCCTGGATCGAGCTTCCTACCTGAGTCCCCATAGTCTGTCTTCTTGAGAGACTGAAGTTGCTCCCGCCCCTCCACAGCTCTGCTAAAATGCTTTCAGTGCCTTTCCATCCCATCCGGCATGAAGGTGCAACAGTGTAGTCTGGAATGCAGGCGGCTCCACACCCCAGTCTCTCTGACCACCGGTTCCCAAAGGCGCGCATGTGGCTCAGAGAGGTCCTCTAGGGACTCAAGTTGTCTAGGGAAGCTGGGGCTACTCCAAGTGCCTGTCACAGTGACTGACATGGGCAAGCTTGTGGCAACAATGTTTTCTGGGTTCCACCTATTGCCATACGGCTCATGACTCTTAGTTCAGGGACTTCTAGAATCTGAGGGAAATCCTCTGAGAGACTTTGAAGAGGTTGTCCAGCTGGCCTTCTGTAAAGAGCAATGGATGGAAGAACACTGCAGCCCTACAGATAGCACCCACCAAGCCCTGCCTGGGATGCACCTGGTTCAGGGGGAGGCAGGAAGCTTTGCGTGGCACCTCTCACTAATTGCCTGTGTAGCCTCCCGGGAATCCCTAAGCCTTTTTTTTTGCCTCTGGTTTCCTCATCAGTTACACATGGCTGCTAGCATCAACCCTGTCTGTCCCACAAGAGAACACAGCATGACTCTCCCCCAGTCCCCAGGTCCCTGGTTATACTGCCGCTGAGGCCCCCCAGTCAGTGGGACCAGCCTTCATGACCACGTGGACGTGCCAGGGCCTTTGCCAAGATGTTTGACCACTGACCATGGTGACAAATCAGATCCTCTCAGTGTCTGAAAGATCCCTGGGGGCCTCGGGGCCCCAGCTACGACTGTTCTTTCATCACAGGCTCGGCAGTGAAGCCCTTGCTGGCTACGTAGCCTGGTGTTGACTAGGAAGCCAGACTGCACCTCCACACTCATGCTGAACCCTCCCAGGGCTGGTCAGAGCCAATGGGGGCCCGGAGGCACAGCCTGCTGCTAGCACCCCTTCCCCTCCCACCCCACTCCCCCCGCTGCACTGTGTCAGCTCCAGTCTGCCCTCCCCGACTCCGCTGCTTGTGGCCTCAGGTGTTCTTCCTTATTTGCCCCATGGCTCTTTTGTCTGGAGTCCTGTCCCTGCCAACCTCAGTAGGAGGAGCTGTGCCCATTTCTAACATCTTGATTCTCTTTGGCCGAAGCGAGGCTGCTCTCCCATGCACCCCTGTGCCCATCCTGCACCAGGCACCATGCTACAATCCAGCACTAGCAAGAGAATCTGTGAGCGGGATCTCCACCTGCCTGGGCGCACAGGTCAGCCGGGAGACAGTTAGACCTGGTGTGATGACACTATAAGAGAGAGCCCTAGATGACACAGAGGAGAGACTCTGAGCCAGAAGGAGGGAGCAGTGTCAGGAAAGGATTCCTGGAGCTGAGGCTTCAAAAACAAGCAGGATGAGGCCAAGCCAACCACAGCTGGGGCAGGGAGGACTGCCAGGGAGAGGAAGCAGCATGCACGAAGGCATGGAGGTGTGAAATGACACTACCTGTTTGGGGAACTCTGTCTCGGTGGGGATATCTGAAGGGTGAAACTAAGTCAAGCAGAGGAGCAGAGGTGGCTGGGAAGGGCAGGGGCCTCAGGTGGCATGGCGTGGGGCCTCAGATGCCAAGCTGTGGCATTTAGGCTATCTGTGGAGGTGATGGGAAGCCACTGAAGAGAGCGGGAGTTCCCAGGTCAGCGGCTCTGAACCCCAGCCAGCCTAAGCCAGGTGAAGACCCAGGGCTGTGCCCTGTAGGTTTTGGTGGGAAGCGCAGACAGGCTTCCTCACTAAGGCTCAAGGCCAGTTCCCTGGGCCTTTTTCATCCTGCCAGCCACTCCCAGGCACATGGGAGCATCACAGGGGACCCCAGGTGGTGGATGTCTATAAGAGAAAAGAGTAAGGACTTGGGAATCAGGCAAAAGCTGGTTTCATTCCTTACATCTTTTTACTCATCGGAAAAGCAGAGTCTGTCACCTTTCTCAGAACTACTGATGGGTTAGTGAGATGCACCTAACCAGTCTGAAATTGCTCCTGATGCCCAGCAAGCGCTTAGACGACAGCTAGTGTGCTTCCAATTTTCAGACGAGGAATAAGGGCTGGAGGGGTGGAGGCGGCCCACACTGCTCTGTTAGGGGAGCCAAGTGGGGTCAGGAGCTGAATCAAACTCTCCTGGGAAGTGGAGGTTCTAGGCCCTGGTTTTACCTGGAAGGCAGAGATGTGGCTGCCAGCCTGGGACCCTCCACCCCACCTCCCACTGTGCATAGCTGGGTCTAGATGAACATAAGGATTCTCTGGCTCCTAGAGCTCTGGCCTTGCCTGTGGTGGGCTCTAGGGCTTCTTGGGGAGCCTACAGTGGGACATAGGGGAGACTCCAGCCCCGGGGCCTTCCCACCTGCTCCCCTGGGCAGACAGGAATGTCAGCAGGGGTCCCCACTTGCATCCTGACCTGGTAGGTTCCAAGATTCCAGCCCTGCCCTCCTCCAGGTGGTGGCCTGATATCCCTGTCAGCTCTGACCCCAACTCCCTGAAATCCACCACCTGGAGTCCCCCATGATCCTGCCGGTAGAAAACCTGACACACCCAAGGTAGCAGGAGAGTCATGAGTCTTGGGGGTGCAGGGGGTCCTCAGCTGTGTTGTGTGACACTAGGCCTGGCACTGGCCACTTCTGGGACTTCCTTCCTGGCCTCCAGAGGGATGGAGGGACGAGCTCAAAGTCATACCACTCACTGGGCATGGCATAGTTGGAGCTGGGCCTCCTCCGAGTCTGGTGCTCTATCCATTCCCCATTGTCAGGTGTTCTAAGAGAAAGATCAAGGTGCCATGGTCCACAGGAGACTGGGAACTTCGATCAGGCTAAGGGCTAGGCTAGACGGAGGCCAAGACTGCTAAGCTCACACTAGCTTCAGGAAGGCAGCTGACGCGCTCCTGCATTTAGAACCCGCAGGTTTCACTTCTCCTGTCACCAGTCCTTCCCTCATGAGTCAAGAGGTCCCAGAAAAGAAGCGGGGCACAGAATATGAACAGCCAGGCCTTGCCTAGCTGGCCCCAGGGTGGCTGTGACAGGGAGGATGGCAGCCCAGGGGCTGGGCCAGGCTGGGCAAGTAGGCCAATGACCAAAGGATAGAGGGGAAGATCCCCGGCTGCTCCAGATGGGGTGGCTGTCTGATGACCCTCAAAGACTTTGTTAGCAAGAGGTGGCACTTCTCAGAATCCCACCTCCACCCACCGGATACTGGTTACTGAATAACCAAGTTAGATAGAGAGGTCGACTAGCTATCTCTTAACTATTAGCTGACAGTCCAACCTACTCTTTCGAGGAAGCCTGATAATAACTTTATTGACCTCGTTGAGACTTTGCACTAGGAATGCTTCTGGGGTAAAAATCAAGAAATGGCATCTCCCAAAGCAGCAACAGATTAGAAACAAACAAACAAAACCCCCAAAAGACCAACTGCCACCACCACTCCAACAGCAAAAACCAAGAAACAGCCCAGCAGAGGGACGCTGCCCCCGGAATGTCAGAAACAGCCCCTGTTCCCCAGTGGCTCCCTAGCCACTCCCCCGTCCCAGGCTGGGCTGGCTGTGGCTACAGGTGACTTTGGCACTTGTCCTGAGAAAATGGACTCAGTGGCCTCTTCTCGGATGTGACTGTTCTGAGACTAAGCAGATCTGAAAAGGATAGAGGGCTGGGTACAGTAAGAACCTGGCTGGGGTCAATGGTGACAGTGCCCACCTCCCCCCGCCAAGCCCTCCACCAGCACTGGGAGATACCCTGCTAGGAAAAAGCCAGCCAGGAACAGATACCACAGGAGCAGAGCCCTGAGCCAGGCCTTTAGCATGCAAGACAGGACA